GACAGAATGGCGTGGACGGATCTTTCTTCCATCTTGCCGCGTAATGTAAAAGGTAACGAATGTGTATGCGTAGTGTATGCTGCTTTTTTTTCTTTCCTCGCTGTCTCTCTTTCCCTCTCCCCTCTCCTGTCTCTCTATTCTTGACGCATCCTTTTTTTTTTTTCACGCCGCTCCGAAATCGAGGAGGAAAAGACAAACGTTCACAAAACGGTTCGCACCTTTGTCATCGCCCGATCGTAAACAGAGAGAGAGAGAGCTCTTGTTTAATTAAAATCTGATTTCTCACACAAAAGTCCACAGAGAAAAACGACGATCGTTCCAATCGGTTCGACGTGGCGTTGCCTGTCGCACTCTGTCGCGTGCGCGACCGAAAAATACATGCCATTTACTGTGACGGTTTCGGAAACGCGAGCGAGCAACAACTCGAGGCCACTCGAGAAGCTGTCAATGGGTGTCAAATTCGTCGGACTCTCAGCTCTCACTCACGGGAAATGTTTATTCTCGTCGGGGATATAATTTATTATTTATTTTCCGCACTCTGGTCGTGTGTCATGGTGTAAATAAAACCTTATCACGGTATTTCCGCTCGCGAGAGATCATTTTTATTCGCCACCGGTGTGTTAATCCGACGCATTAAACTGATAAAACTTGCATGATATTTTAATTCCTCGACTTCTTCGGTTATTTCAACGTGGTTAATGTTATACCGAGGAGGTAGTGGGGGGAGAGGAGAAGTTGGTTTTGTTTTATACACGTTTGCGTTATTCATGCGGAATGTATTTAATAGCGTCTTAACATATCGCTGTGTTTTATCTATGCAAACCAGGCAATTTAAAAAAAAAAAACAGTTTACTTCTACCTGCGGTTTTCGTTCATTTCTATATAGGTATATGCGCTTAATTTCACTTGTATATCCGTCGATGTTAAAAATGCAACATCGTCGAGATAATACATTGCAATGTTCTCTCTCCGTCCGTTTAAAAGCGAAATCGTTCGTAGTCATTTATGCTCTTCTTCAATTTTCGTTATTTTTATTCGTTTTTTTTTTTCTTTTTTTTTTATCGAAGTCGTCGGTGATTTCTTTCGACTTTGAAATTCAAATTCCCAGGAAAAAAATCTATTATACTGCTTCTTGCGCAAAGAAGCGTGTTTCACAGCGGGAAAAAAATATTGAAAGAACGTAAAATAATTTCAATGAGATCAATCGTTTCGATAAAATTAATTAGTGATGTTTTAAAACAACGCTGCTATAAGGAACAAAAACGCTCGTTAGCTAATGTTACAGACATTAGCTTGTGTTAACATTTTCTTTTTTGTGAGAGCAACTTGTTCATGTGAAGAAAATACACGTTGTTGTTGCGTGGCTTTCAGGTTACCGTCTTCGAAGTGGACGTTCACGGCGGCGCGGTACCCCATAGCTGGCAGAAATCACATTTACCAAATCCGGTGACGATGCGAGGATACGACTTGACATCATTACGTGAAAATGGACCACGGCCTCCTGAGCCACCCTCTTCTGGTTATCCCGCGATGCTTTATCATTCTTCGTTCAGGTGAACTATCTCGCAATATATAAATCACGATATATTGGGGTCTGTCACAATTTTGCCACAAACTTTGTTTCTTCTCACACTTCTTTCATATTCCCACGTGCCCGCCAAATAAATCTCATTCGGCGCTTCGTATCGTTTTCTTTCAGATACATTATCGGGGGAATAATAAATTTGTTCTCATCAAGTATTCATCAAGTTTTGCTTATCATAATTCGTTAATATTTTATCTTTTGCGTTTAGTCGACTGTAAAAGCATGGGGTGCTAAGCCGACGGATGGAGGGAACGTAATAGTGGGAACAGCAAAAGCACTGCCATATCATTCTGCTCAACTCTGCCGTACCTAAAAGAAAACTCGGATTGCAGGTGGGATATTTTTTTTTTTTTTATATGGACACACTCCTTTGCTTGTTTTTACTGTGGAAATAATTTTGGTTTCACTTTGTCGAAGAGAAAGAAGGATCTTCAAACGGTGTTCTTTTTGATAAACTCACTGTCAAATCAATTAGCTGTCGCACATTACATAATAAGCTACAACTATAAAGCTTTCACGTGTGATTTTCGTTTTGCGTCACGCTTAATCGGAAAATTTCAGGTCGATATAAGAAACTGCACGATCGCTGCGGCAAAGAAGCAAGTGCACTAAAACCAAGGAATCGCGTGCTAAATTTGTATTAATAGCAATGAAGAAGCAAAACGTCCGAACCTTAGCATTGATTGTTTGCACACTTACTTATCTTCTCATTGGTGCTGCACTTTTTGACGTATGTGAGTCCAACACGGAAATAATCCATAAGCATACATTACGTGGTGAGTAAATGAACTGCTCGTGCTTTGTGCGATATTATAACTGCGACGATTAGGCAGAGAGCTGCCTAACCATTATTCGGACACGTTCTGATGATGTGCTCGTCTGTTGCTCTCAAAGCGAGCGACAAATCGGGCACATCTTTTGATCGTAATCTTCATTTGGAGAACTGAAGTGGGATATCTCTCAAGCAAGATGGCTCTCTTCGATTTCTTATCGAAGATAATATTAGAAATTCGCGTTTATCTCACAGATATCCTTCCCTAAAAATATTTAATAGTTGTGTGTTTATTTTGTTCGCAGACATTTTACAAACCGTTCTGCAAAAATATAAGATAAGCAAGGAGGACTTAGGTATCTTGGAAACAATAGTGCTGAAGGCAGAACCTCACAAAGCTGGCCAACAATGGAAATTCGCTGGTGCAGTTTATTACGCTACAACGGTTCTCACCACAATAGGTCATTACAAAATTTAATATTTTTCTTTGAATGAATTTAAATCGTTAAATCAACTTTCATAGCCTTATTTTGTGAACATTTTAAATAAGTCAAGCAATACATTCAATAATTTACTAAAAAACTATTCATCGAAGCAGCGATATATCAAACAATTTACATTTTTGGAAATGTCGAACTTGCATTTACAATTTAGAGCAATTTATCTTCTTAAATTACCTTTGATAAGTATGAGCTCGTGTTTGTACCATTTTTTTGTTACATTGTATCGCAGGTTATGGACATTCGACACCAAATACTTTACAAGGCAAACTGTTCACGATGATCTACGCGACTATCGGTATTCCTCTAGGACTTATAATGTTCCAAAGCATAGGAGAACGCTTAAATAAGTTCTCATCTTGCGTGATACGGAACATAAAACGTTTTTTAAACTGTAAAGACATCCAGGTAACACACGACAAAAACAAACTGATTGACGTACATCTTATATCTGATGCGATAATAGTTTCAGTTTGAATTAAATCCGAGATGTGATATTACAGACCTCGGAGACGAATCTCATTTGCGTGGTGACGACTTTGTCCTGCTTGACTATCGCCGGTGGTGCTGCCGCATTTTCCGCGTACGAAGAGTGGTCCTATTTTGACTCCGTTTACTTTTGCTTTATCACACTGACGACAATTGGTTTCGGCGATATGGTTGCGCTGCAAAAGGACAACGAACTCGACGAGAACCCCGAATACGTTATTTTCGCCCTGATATTTATTCTCTCTGGTTTAGCAATTGTGGCGGCCTCGCTTAATTTGTTGGTTTTAAGATTTATGACTATGAACACGGAGGACGAGAGACGAGATGTAGCCGAAGCACGACAGGTACGTATCTTGTGTTTACATCTAATAATTTTTGAACACAATCTGAGAGAGGGTTTGTATTATCTGACAATTTAAATCTTTAGTGTTTTGATTGAACACATATGTCGAATAATTGCTTTTCTGTAATTAACGATCGTGTTATTCGCGTTATTTTGCAAATGTGTTTTGATACAATTCGATCAATCACTGTCTTGTTTACGATCAATGTTTTTGCAATATATTGATGTTGATGGAATGTTTTCTCTCTCTCTCTCTCTCTCTCTTTTTCTCTATCTCTTTCTTTCTAGGCGTCCCAAATCGCAGTGCATCTCGAGGGTGATATAATAACGGCGAACGGCTCGATTCTGTCCGGTTTTTACGGTAACGTGTCTTCGTGCCTCGAAAAGGAAGAGTCGGTGTGCAGTTACCCGTGCAGTAACACCTTTCAGTCGTCGCGTCGGAGACCACGTTTGAAAGTGTGCCGTTCGCCCAGTAATATCTCGCAACTGTTGCCGATGCAACAGCTATCGGCTCTGAACGCCGAACGACCGCTCACGCCGCTGCTGCAGATGCCGCAGCATCGCGCCAGCATCTAACAGTACTGTTCCAGGAGTAGCGTGTTCGTTACTCAACGTCGTTATTGCGAGCAGCCGCGACGGACGTTTAATTCAAAAGAGAGATTGTTGGTTCCCACGGCTGTGGTGGCGCTTCAACGACTTTTTCATCGTCGTCAAAAGACGTTTTTTTAAATTACGCGCGAAAGAGTGTGAATATTGCCCAAAAGTCTGTATTTAACGAGTGCAATCGAAAACTTGACTACGTGACAAAGAAAGACAATATATTGCCACGTTCTTTGTCTCTACCGCGTGTGTGATATACCTACATATACATCTGTGTACGCACAACTGTGGTATATATCGTATATACGGACGCGAAAGGATAATGTCTCACACGAAGAGAATCGACAATCACATTATCCTCATCTCTCCTCAACCGCGCCAAATTCTACGTAAAGCGTCGATGAGATCGAAAACAAAAAATGTAGATATTGCCCCTCGCGAGAGATTTGGTCTGAAAGTGTTTCTTCAGATCTCTCTTAATAATAGGAAACGTAGTAGCGTAATAAGGTTTAATTAACATAGACTCCCACTTTTTTATAAATTTTATGTTTGTATATATATATATATTCACATATGCGTGTACATATATGTATACACACATCCTCGTATGCATATATATGTGTATATATATACACACACACGTGTGTGTAGATACATTATATGTATGTATATGCATGTTATATATATGTATATATATGTATATAAAAAAAAAAAAAAACAAATTGTAGATAAACATTGTACATTGAAAAAAAATTAATGAATAATACTATTAATAATAATTAAAAAAAAAAAACAAACAAAATTGACAGGAGACGATTAAATGTATAGTCAATAAAATTCAGTTGGGTTCCTGAACAAACTTGTTATTTTCCTTATTGTTGCGTAACAGTAACAATTCAAAGTGTAATTTTGTTCCTAAAGCACGTTCAAAAAAAAACTAGCAGATTAAATTAGGTTGGTGAGTGAGCGTGCAGACTTTGAAGCTATTCCGAATGACGTAAAAAAACATCCTAACAAAATGAGGATCAAAGATCTAACAAAGTAATCACGTTTATTTCTCACATGTACAACAAAACAACGTCGTCTATAACGTTTAGACTGATCATGTAATCTCTATTTAGTGAACGCGATAAGAGTGACCGCGGATCGTGTTACGTAAGCAGATATATAGTTAAATCTCATGCCGGGCATAAGGTTTCTCCGGCAACGGTGTAACCGCCGAATATCCCACCACATCCATCCGATCGCAAAGAATTAAAATGACTTGTTAAATAATTTTTTTTTTTTTAAATAATATTTTAATTTTACTCTTATTATATATAAATTTATAAATATTTTTTATGAAGAGATAACATGTGTATTTTGATGATTTGTTCGTACAATAGAACGAATAGTCGTATTAAATGTTCTATACAATCATTTGAGGCACATATAAAAGTTTTTTTATATAAATAACAATGCTTTACGAGTATTATGTTGTTTCATCGTCGAAACGATCGTTACAGATGAAAACTATAAAATTTATTTTGCTGTGAGCATTTTCTTATATTATTAATGTAGCGATATATTTGATAACAATTGATAAACAAAGAGCCTTTACTTGTATTTAACACAAAAGCATACGCAATGCGAAAATATTCTTAATTCTTATACTATATATATATATATGTAGTATTAACAGCATTCTAAAATCTCTCTACGTAAAAATATATTTAAAAAAATTTTATTTACGCATCGAAAAAAGAAACACTACCTATTCGTTATTAGATCATTTGATTACCTTTTATCCTAGATAGATTTCGATGTGAAGTATTTTCCTTTTATTTAATTACAAGGACTAGCTGGCTGACTTGTCGTTCCCGAGGACTGTAACACAATGGACTGTACAGACAGTGTGGATATGCTGCTGGCCGTGGTCACGGTGTCCGAATGATGGCGATGACACAGCGCCGTATTGTAATACTGTTGATGATGATGATGTAACAGATGAGAATGATGCGGGTGAAGATAACTCGAACTTCTGTACTCGTTGTTATTATTGCTGTTGTTGTTGTTGGCGCCGTTGTTGTCGGCCGAGTTGTCGTGACGATTGTGATGATGATGATGATGGGGCGTGTTGTTGATCGTGGGACACAGAGGCAATGTTGGCGACGAGGACGACGACGAGTTTTGTATCAGGTTACAGCTGTTGGCCAGGATGTCGTGCACTGTGTGAGAGCTCGGCCACTGCAGAGCGTTGTTCGTCGCTGTCTGATGTCCGCCGGTTGTGTAAACCGCCGGAGATGACGGCGGTGACAATTTACTCGCCGACGACAGTCCACCTAAACAAATCGAAGAGTCGACACCTCAAATATGAAATTAAATTAAACACACGAGAGATTTGGTCTCCAACGCTCACATAAAGGTAGAAACAGTATCTTGCGGATATATTTCGATGTTTTAAGACTAAATTCCTCTTCAATTTTTTGAGTAATCGATTTCTTGATGAAATTAAAAACAGATTCGGAGTCTATGCGCAAATTAGTAGCCGCAAAATACTGACCTTGATGATGCTGATGCGTGATGGAAGGTGGTGCCGTCGGATGGTAAGGCGTCGGTGGATACGGCACCGGACAAAGGGCCGCCGCGCCGGCCGCCGCGGCTGCGGCCGCGTAAAGATGATGATGATGATGGTGGTGGTGGTGGTGATGGTGTGCCGAATGATGTGAGGGATGGTGCATCGCCGTCGTCGCGCCGACCTTGTTTCGCAGTATCCTCGAGATACTCGACACCGACGGGACGTTGTACTTGTCGCAGACGCCATCGGACAGCAACCGGTCCCTGATCTCCCAGGCGAATATGCCCGGGTCCTTCGATTTGAGCTGCTTGATGTATTGGACGACTTTCGGAGTGGTCACGCGCGGCTTGCTGCCTCCGATCGCGCCCGGCAATATGCTACCTGTTTCGTGATAGCGGGCCAGTATTTTGCTCACGCATCCGTGACTGACGCGTAGCTGTCGCGAAATGTCGCAGGGCCTGATGCCGAGCTGCGCGAGCTCGACTATTCGCAATCTCACGGCGTTCGGCAGAGGTCTGCCATTTACGAAAACGCCGCCAAGTTGATTCACCTCTCCGTATTGTTGCTGCTGTTGTTGCTGCTGCTGTTGCTGCTGCTGCTGCTGCTGCTGATGCAGTTGTTGCGATTGCGCCCCTATGTCGTTGTTGCTGTTCTCTGTGACACAATATCAATTCCCCGTGACCGGACATTTATTAAAGAAATAACTACAACAAAGTATTTACACACAAAGTGTTAAAAATTAATATTTATTAATCTAGTAATTATTTGTTTAACAAATGTTCGGCCAGTGGTACATGTCCGCAGTTATTGGGACATTCACTTTATATTGTAAAATCGCGTTTAGAATTTAAAATCAAACGATAACGCCGATGTACAGACGCTGTTTAAATTTGTCGCTTAATTTTGTATTACAATTATTTACAACTACTCTATATTTACAATATGCAGATAGCGTGCGCGCGCGTGCGCAGGTTTATTAATTGTTACCGCTGCAAAAATAATAAATACAGCTTTTCTACGAAATTCTGGATAAGCAAATGTTGGTGAGACACAGACGCACATTCGTACGTACGTACACGCGCGGCTCCCGCGTGTAATATTATTAGACTTTTTCTCGCAAGTGATGAATGGTCGAGATCAAAGGCTCCGACGCGTGTAGTCATTTTACACGCGTGTAACATACATATCTAATGAAAGAGAGACGACAACACATACACACAACCGGTGTAGGCGACGACGCGCGTGGGTATGAGTGCGAGCACAGTTCCGCTTAGCCGAGGGGGAAGAAGCCGTCTGGTTCTAACTCTTATAATGCTATACATACACTTCTTAACGCTAAAAAATATCTTACAAAAGTAACAAACAAAAGATACAGCTCGTTTGAAACACAATGAGAAAGTGGACACCGAAAAGAGCCAAAAACGAGCGAAGCGAAAATTGGATGTTGACAAAAATGATAGATTTATTCTTGTAACGTATGAGAGCGTTTCTGTGCACTTGTGTTTCATCTTCGACTGTCTTTTTGTGTGTCACAGGTGTATCTTAGAACTACCCGGTTCAAAGATTCGAGCGCTTTCAAGATCTTTAAATGTCATTTTCTACCAATGTAAAATATCGGAAAGCGGAAAGTTTACATGAGAGCGCGACTTTTTCGAATTTTGACTTTTGGTGTAGCGGTAATGGATTTTTTTCTAGATAATAACATCTGTATCCGCTTGATAGGTCTGTAGTTATTTGTATTGCTGTGCAATAATTATTTACAATTAATTATAATTTATTAATTTATTGTATTATCGTAAAGCGAGCGCACTTTCGTCGTCTCCGCACTCGTTTCCGACGACTTGATCGCTAACGGCTGTTGTTCGGTTTTTTGTTAAAAAAAAAAAAAAAAAAAAAATACAAAACTCCATGCGGCACTCCACGTACATCACGATGGCGGCTGGGTAGTTCATCAATGCACAGCGCGCGCGAATGGACCCCACCTTCAAAGGTTAATTTCGACATTAGAGGCTTTCGAGCTACCCGCCGGTCTCTTCTCCGGCGCAGTTAAAAATAACTGCGCCATTCCTTCTCTATGTTGCCTGTGAAAGCGGGAGGGTTTTATACCACATCAGACACGCCCCGTCACCAATCTTTTTACAACTTCTCATCACTGTTTAATTTTCTTTTCGGGAGCGGGCACACACATCGGATGTATGATGGCTGTCGTCCACGGAGAAAAGCCGACGTGACACTTAGGACGCGCAGATTCTTTGATCGCTAATTCGTTAAACCTTTATGTTTCTACGATCCAAGTGTCTTGCGGACAATGTCGCGTCTAGTTCGCGTGTCACGCGCGTGTATCTTTATAGTCGGGGTGTCGCGAGTCTTCTCAGTCTCTCATTTCTCTTCTCGACGAGATTTACCGAAACTCGATCGCTCGCTTTTCTTCGCGCCGATCTTTCTGTGAAAATTATCCTCGATCTCCGATTCTACCGGTGAAAATCCTTTTTTTAAACTTTTTAACTCCAATACTGAATCTTCGAGTTTTTTTATTCGGCACTTTCCGAAACTCTCTTCAAAAATTGTTGAAAATAAATTGTGTAAAACGATTTTTCCAAGATTGTTTTGATATTAAAAAAAAAAATGCGTCACAGTTCACTTTTAGGATGTCGGAAAATAAACGATTCAGGATTAGAGTTGGAGATGATTTTTAGACATTTCTGTCCCAGTTGTTTCACCTTTGGCAATTTGTTATTCGCGCAGCAGCCACGCGTTCTACAGCCACCTTTTAGTCGTTTACCACCACGTGATTTTAATGTCAAAAGAAGCTGCAAACGCAACCTCGGACTTGGTCGAATACCTCGAGAGATTGTTCCACGTCCAAGAGTTGTGCCACTCGCGACGCTTATTTGCGTCACGCAATTCTCGGCGCGATTGCTGTAACACCTTATAACCTGAGGAATTCCTCTTCGTTACTCGGAAACATCCCTCACAGCGAAATAATTCTGTCTGCAATATCGTAAGCCTTTTCACCACCGTCGTCAAGATGGAAACAGTCAAACCGCAGAAGATTTTGATATTGAAGAAGAGGTGGAAAATGAAGAATTACATGCTCGCTCTTACTTCATGCGCTTCGTTTCTTTTTTTTTTTTTTTACTAAATTTTACCATTTTTTCTTAAAACATTCTCGCGCAATACTCTTGTAAAACAACCGACACGTTCAAGCGTAAGATTAGTTTAAGAAGATAGATACACATATGCGTGCTCGATTTCTCGAATGTTCCGAGAAGTTAGACATATGAACTGAATGATGAGCCTTTCAAGGTTTGTGTTTTAACGAGCGTGCATAACTCCCTTTGCTATCGAATCTTTGTCGGCAAAAAGAATTGAGGTTTAATGTAACATAGATCATTAAAACCGAATCATTGATATTCAATTGTGCATGTCGCGGCCGTTCCACGAATTGGCGTTGAAATCGAAGATGCGTCTTGTACTGTATATATATGTATATATGTAGGAAATTCGATTGACAAATAAAATACATTAATATCTAACGGTTTCAATGAAATATTTATTAGACTCTTGACTGTGTAATTTGTGTACGCATTTTGGAGATATTTGTCAACTCTCAGAGTTAATTACATTTATAATAATATATTTAAATCTACTGTATTTTTTAATACAGTAGATTTTTAATAAAAATTTTCGAATTTTAATTTACTTAAATAGTTTTAAAGACATATGCAAAAGTTTGCGGTAATTTTTGCCTAAATAAAATTGTTATTTTTGAAAACCAATTTATTATTTAATAAATTTTCGTGTACCCACGCTGTGTTGTCAAATATTACTTTTTTCTTCCGAATTTCGTACAAATGCTGAAACCTCGCACCTACACACACGGATAATTGTTCTTAACTTTTTGGGAAAAAAGAAACTTGCATATATGAACACACTTGATTTCTCTCGTTACAAATAAATTATGTATAATTATAAATAAGATTGAGACGGTCTCTCATCTGTACATAATTATAACCAGACATAGAATTGTCCGTGTATGAAAGACTTTTTTTCTGGGGTTTTATAAATTTCTTTTTTTATAATTTAAAGATATACATTTCTCTCGTCAATATAGTAGAAAAAAAACTGACAGATACAGCAAAACGCTCGCAAAGCAAAAACATGTCGCTATGATCGGCGGTGGCGGCGGCGGCGGCGGCGGCGGCGGCGGTGGCGGCGGCGACGATTCCGTCCGAAACTCTTCTTCCAGGAATCGTATAGCTGCATCGTAGACTCCCCTCCTTTGCTTGCTGCGCTTTTCTTATTTGTTCATATCCTCTATGAGCATGTCTGTTGCTTGAACGGTATGCCAGCCGATGTGTGGAAAGAACAGCTAATGGCAGTGTACGAGAGGACAGAGTGGATCTCAACATAAATTCTCCTCCCCGTAATAAAACAATACCTATGTCACATACTTTACACGAGGGACGAGATTGCACCTCGTTTTTTTTTGCGACGAAAAATTCTTAAAGCAGTAAATGTTAAAAATACAAGAGAAAAAGAGCAGTAAAATAAATTAACAAGAGAAATAATGAAGTTTTCGTAAAAACCGAGCGTCGAAATATTTTAAGAGTGTAAATTATATAATGTGATTTTTTAAATTAAAATTATAATTTGAATTAATTTAGTCGGAGAAGAAACATTGTCTATAATTCTACTCTTATAATGTTACATACTTCGTAATATTAAAAAATATTAAAACTAAGCAAAGGAGTAAAAAGAAATTGTTTTTATATAGAGATGCAAACTAAGCATCCGATATAAATTTTCAAATTAAATTTAATTCAAATTATAATGTGTATTAATTTAGTAATTTACACTTTAGAAATATTTCACATGTACACTCTCAGTAGATCTTGAAGACTTTATTATTTTCTTCTTATTGTTAGTTGAGAGAGATAGAGAGAAAACGATCAGAGTAACCTTATTTAAGTCTAAATAACAACGTAATCAGTGATTACGTTTTGCAAAAGCACGGATAAATGTCACGACAAGTTCGTTCGAGAAATCAAAGTGTTAGTTAAAAAAAAAGCAAAAGTTCAAGATGCCTGAATGTGTCTAAAGCTGTTTTCAATCAAGAGTGACGTTAATGTCTCTCTCTCTCTCTCTCTCTCACTCGGATTGTTTTAATATCCTACAGTTTTGGTGGCGCATTACGTGTGACAATCGATTGCAATCGACGACCGCTTAATTCTCGTCGGTAAATGTAAAAAATGTTTGCTTGCAAAACATTAATTTATCTTTATATCCTGACGTATTACGAAGTCACAAGCAAGACATTTATTATTATTTCCGTGCAGCAATAAAAGAGTTCTCGCGCGATTAAAACGAACTCTTAACAACTCAATAACGTCTCGGCCGCGATTATTTTACATCGCGCAATAAAGAGATAAGAAGTCTCGTGAAAAACTCGAAATCTCGAATTTGACAGTGCCGGCACAGTCAATCAAACGATGTTTGCTACGTAATAAGACCGATGCCGTCGTACGGCATCATCACTCGTCGAATTTTGCGCAACACGGTAGATCTTTTCAAAATATTGACTCGGAAATTACATAAATGCAAATAATGGAAGTAATCAAAAATATTTCTTTTGTTTGATTTTATTTTAGATA